CATAAAAGTTGAACAAGAAATGAACAAATGAACGAGAACAAGAATTGTTCAGGGGCACCCAACGAGGATATTGTTCAAAACCACTTAACATAGCATTGTTAAACGTATTTTAGTATTCAAACGGTAGATATAGGCATATTTTTATCCCCTAAAAACTTTTCATCTGTTCGGATTTCCTAGCTGAAAGTCGAGTGATCCGAAAATTATAGGGATCAAAACTTACCTTTTCGAAAATTTCAGCCAGGAAAAGACTCCCGAAAATTCTTGGTGGCCTTTTTTAGGGTCAAAATCCGTTAAAAATGGGTAATTGTACCATTTTGTAGATGTTCGAAAATCCTAGGAGAAGCAGGCAAGCAAGAAATTTTACAACAAATGCTCCGAAAATCCTAGATCTCAAATCGTCTTCCGAACAGATATTTTCCCGAAAATTGCCGTTGGGTACCTCTGATTGTTGCTTTTAATCTTTTTCTGATATCAACAGCAGTTTCTCAGTAACAACTCACTTCAAAGGGTGAAAATTAATTATTCAAAAACAAACTACTGGTTCACAAATATCTAGCCAACATAGGAACACAACTACCTCATGAGATAACTTCAGGACACTAAAAAATTGGCACAGTCGACTCACAATAACTCGGACCTTCAAGGGAAATGGCAAAACGTTCGAGTTAGAGGGAGTTCGAGTCATAGGGAGCTCGAAGAAAATAGCCGGGAGTAAGGAAAAACAGTTTTTACTGCACAGTGAACATTTTAATCACAGTCAACTGTAGAAATATAACGTTAAGTGAAAATTGAAAGATACTTCTAGATTATAAATCAGAACGTAATGTAACAAAACACTGCCTAAATAAAGCATGCGTTTTCCTGTTTTGAGAAGTAAAACTGTTAGACGTTAGATTTGTGACAAACAACATCAGCCTCCACAAGTAAACTATATGCCCACAACACGTCAATGGGAAATGCAAAATCCAATGTTTCGGACGCCAGAAGACTGTTTTTTTTCCCGACTTTTTAAGAGTTCAAAACATGGTTCGAGTTATCGAGGGTAAAATTATATAGAAATGATCTGAGGGGAAACAAAAACTACTTCGAGTTAGCGGGAGGTTCGAGTTACTGAGGGTAAAATTACAGTAAATGTATGACGGAAATCCAGGGGAAATCGATTTTGGTTCGAGTTAGCGCGAGGTTCGAGTTAGCGAGGGTTCGAGTTATCGGGAGTCAACTGTATTTTCCAAACACCATCAGTCATAGAACAATTGTGGAGGAACCTAATAGTATTTAAGTTGAAACAAACCGCAGCACGTTATTTCCGCGTGCTAAAAATATCAAGAAATGGACAAGCAGGGAGAACCCAATATAAACTGTCTCTCTGAGTTTCTGTCTTCACTAGACAAAAGCACCTTTTTAGAACAAATGACATGAAACAAACGACGATCGAATAGTATCCCATGATGCATTTTTCCAGAGGCATCACCCAATATCGCAGACATGGCAGATTACATCGTGAAATACGGTCGTTTTGTCGTCGGCTTTTTTCTCATTTGTGTTCCAGTAAAATAAAGAAAATTGCATTATTTTGTTATTTGACAATGGCTTAAGAGCGGAGTTTCCATATAGAAACATTTATTTTCATTTTTTCACGTAGTCTTCGCATCACAAAGTGTTCAGTGACCCACTACAAGGTCATGAATATTCACGATTTTTTGGATTATATGTTGAAGTCTTCCAGATGTGGACCTCACGCCAGCAACTTGAAGTCCTGAATATTGTGCAGGCTAAGAAGAACCCAGAAGTACCCACATTTTGAAGACTTTTTTATCGACCAAAGATGGCTGAAATTTCGTATCTTTTATCACATTTTAAATAACGCCATGTGTCGATAATATGAGTAAAGCCTGCTGAAGGGTCAGGGGCACCCAGCGACTTTTTTCTGTAAAATAACTGTTCGAAAGAGCAAATATATTGCCTAGAAATTTCTAAAGCTTGGGAAAATTTAAAAATTTTTGGATAACCGTCCCATTCGTCTAAAATGGTAGGAGGTTTTCTAAGAGAGAGATCTACAATTTTCGGAACATTTTTTGTAAAATTTCTTGCTTGCCTGCCTCTCCTAAGATTTTAAAAAATGGTATAATTGCCCATTTTGACGGAGTTTTACCCTAAAAAGGTCACCTGGAATTTTCGGAAGCCCTTTTCCTGGCTGAGATTTTCGAATAGGTAAGTTTTGATAATTTTCGGATCACTAGACCTTCAGCTAGGAAATCCGAACAGATGAAAAATTTTTAGGCGATAAAAAAATGCCTATACCTACCGCTTAAATACTAAAATGCGTTTGACATGCTATATGTTTAACTGGTTTTGAACTATATTCTCGTTGGGTGCTCCTGACTTCATGTCCTCGAACTTTCGTCCGGACCCATAAGGATAGCTTAAACGCTTTCGGTTGAGACGAAAAAGGCACCTAAAACTTTCGTGACGACCAAAGTTCGCCTAAGACATCCGAACAGATGAATAGTTTTTAGGGCAACTCAAAATTAACCAAACAGGCTTCTAAAACAGAGAGAAAAATCATCTGAGACACTTTGCTTTTTTAAATTTGTTTCTCACTTGATTCACAGTAAATGAAAATTCGTCACCTTGAGCAAGAGCCCGTTCTTTCAAATCTTTCAACACCTTGCCTTAAAACTCACTGTTTGTCGAGTTCTTTGAGTTCTTAAATATAATCTTTCTTTAAAAATACTCACTATTGCACACAAAATCAACCAGGTCAGTTACGTCGTCTTCTCTCCAAGTTGGTCTTCTTCCCGCCTTTTTCTTTGAACCTGAGTTTGGACGACTCGTTTGCGATGACACTGACTCAACATCGCTGATCGCTTCCTCGTCTTCCTCTTGTTCTTTATAGCCAGTTAGTGGAATATTTTCGTCAAAAGGTAGTTCGTCTTCTGATGATTTATCGGGCTCTGCGGCGTTGCAAACCAAGGAGGAAGGAGTATGCAAACTTTGCACGGAAAGCCGCCATGTTTGTTTTAAACCATTCTCGACCCCAGTGCTCACGCTTCTGATTCCTGGCTGTAATGCGCATAGGAGCTCTGGGGAAATAAACGGAATCAATGCGCATGCTCATTGAAAGACATTTTCTCCCATTTTCCGGGACTCGCGAGATCACAATTCCCACGAAAATACATTTCCGAAATTTATGAATTTAACTCGACACGGCCATTGCCAGAAATTAGGGACAAGATGGCGCTCGCGCGTGCGCACTAAGGCCATAATGGCTGCGAATTCGTATATAATTCACAAGGTGTCCAAAATTCAATCTTAGTCCCTCTCGATCGATGTGGTTTTGGTGGGTAGAATATAATGCCGACCCACCGAATCGCCATCTTTTTTGTTGCTACAACTCCAGAGATGCTTCACGGGATATAAACTAGGTTCCAGGCATTCAAAAGTCCTCGATTAGCCTACCAGGCTTGGTTTTAAAACAAAATTGTCACGAAAATGTCACGAAAGGTACATCCGCGTACTGTTTTATTGCTATCAGCCGCTCGGCCGAATATAAACCTAACATTTTCTTGCAAGGTGTTTTATTCCTGCTTTTTTCTTCGTAAAACAGATCCACAGAGCTCAAATTATTTAAAAAATCGCAGGGGATACGATTTCCCTGACTACGATCGTTTTTGTCCGTCATTTTGAAAATGAGATTCCGCTGACAATTAATCACGGGCGCGAAATGTCCACGATTTCTGGCAATGCTAAAAGCACGACGTTTGCATCGCTGCCGTGCCAGAGTCGTGTAGCAGGGCAGACCTTGTCGAACTTAATTGTTCTGCCGCACTAAATTAAAAACTTTGATTCAGACGTCGTTCTTCTGCCGTGCTTATGTCGAACTTAATTCAAGTGTCGGTAGCCACCACTAGTCACCTCCACTTGAGTGTAGCTAAATGTCGTGGGTAGTGAGTAGAGGTCGTTGGTCGAGGGTGTGAGTGTGGGTCGTGGGTGTGCGTAAATGTCGTGGGTAAAAAAAAAAAAAACAGAACAAAAAAGAATCGAGAAAATCATATTTACGTAAGGCAAAAAAATGTACATACAGTCTAGCCTTAACTTTAACGAGACCTAAAGCTTCTTCAAGAAAGGTTTCTATCCAAACATATGAAATAGCTCAAAATTGCCGTTTCCCCCTCACTTCCCCTCTCCTTTCCCACGGTGATCGTATTCCATCGTCTTAAAAAATCTCCGCTTATTATTGGAATTTTAGATCGAATATAGATTAATTACAGTAAGCAGCTATTTCCATTCAGCGAGTCAGAGCTGTCCCATACTATCTTCAAATTGCACGTTTCGACATATTTTACGTCTGTTTCGTTTATTTTCGCGGCGAACACTCAGGTATGGATAAATCTTCATCAGCAACATGTCTTTATACAGTGATGTTATGAAACGGAACCCAAGTCCCACATGGCTAAAAAAAAGTATCAGGAAGAGGACGAAGAAGAAGCCATGAAAAGGCTAGGGCAGTCAAGGAGTCGGAGATATTTCTATACTTTGTTTACCCACGGCATTTACCCGCACTTACGACCCACGACATTTTACCAACTCCCAGAGCCAGGGTACGCTCGCTATGTGTGGACGAGAATTCAACCTATTAACGGAGAAACATGAAAAAGTTCCGGGGGTTTTAAAATAGAAATGAACACTTGTGAACTTTCGGTACCTTAGAACATTCACAAATAACTGAACACTGAACCTGAACTAATGTTAACTTCCTAAAGCTGGAAAAAAATTCCCAGCTGCCCAAATTTGATATTAATGATATATGTATTTAGCGAATTACACGGATCTTTTGTTCACGCTGTGTAATATAAATTCCCACTACCCTTGATAATCCCTTGGCACTTTGTTGTACGGAGCTTCTACTGTACCTACAGTTTTACACTGTAGGGCCACTTTTGTTTCTACTGTACATCAACGATTTGCCTGAGAGTCTAAAATTAACAACTCCATGTATGTATGCGGATGATACACAAATCTTAGCTTCCTCTCCCGATGCACACAAACTTATCGTGAAGCTTAATTCTGATCTCGCTGAAGTCCGAAAGTGGCTCATCAAGAACAAGAACGCGCTTACAGCGGCATTCATTCTCGCCTGCTTGGAGATTAGATCGAGAAATGAGGAGGCGATTAATTCTACAAGAAACATGATTTACTCGCTAACGTTTTTTTACTTCCTACTTTATCGACTTCGATACTTTTTCACCCCGGTTTCTGAATTGATTTAGTACACGTGTTAACGACGACCAGAAATACCTCTGCGGTAGCAGGCTATACGAGTGTATAAATACACGAAAATCAAGGGCGTCGATGCCAGAGAAATTACATCATTGTCAGATATCAAAAAGTGATTTACATGGCACGTCATTTCAATCAACGCCGAAAATAAATCGCATGCTCATTTGCATACAGTGACAAGCTGTTACGGCACGTACACGGTAGTTGGCATAACCATTAAAAGGGAAATGGGCTTATCGCCAAATGATAAAGAAGTAGCTAATTGTTCTAAAAAACATACCCAATTCAAGACTAGAGTGCACAAACCATACCCTATTTCAGACCAAAATGATGGTCGAAATTGATACCCTATATTTCAGACCAAAACGGCAAAAAAAAAACATACCCTTTGGCGCGGCACATACCTATATAGCCTATGTAAGGGACTACCCCCCCCCCCCCCTTCGGGGCAAAAAAAGAGTTGCGGGTTCCCAGCCCCCCCCCTTTCCCAAACAAAACAAAAAAACTCCAAATGCCTCAGTCTAAATAAAAAATCTTTTTATTTGGGCCCCCCTACAATCTACACAAAAAAATAAAGGAGCAACCGTTTTTGCTGGGCCTGTCAAGGCGATCCAATCTGTAAACCCCCCCCCCCCCCCCCCTTCGGGGCGAAAAACGAGTTGCAGGTTACCAGTCTCGCTGCTTTCGCAAGCAAGACTAATAAACTTCAAATGCATCCGTCTAAATCAAAACTCTTGTTTATTGGGTCCTCCTACAATCTGAACAATAAGATAAGTGAGCAACCTGTTGTGCTGGGACTGTCATGTCGATTCGATCTGTAAAAAGGTTAGCGCTGGTATAGGAGCCATGGAGTGCATCAAAAATTTCGTTCCCGTAGCTTCTCAGGAAACAGTTTATAAGGGCTTAGTTCAGCCATATTTTGAGTATTGTACTCCTTTGTGAGACACCTGCGGCAAATTATTGAAAGATAAGCTGGAACGATTTTAGTCACGTGCTGCTAGAGTTCTCACGGGTGCCAGTCATGATACTCGCTCCGCATACCTAATTGACTTTCTTCCTTGGCAAACACTTGATGATCGACGGCAATGTGGATAGTCAATTTTAATGTATAAAATATTAAAAGATCACACCGCCCCCGGCCCAAGGAACTCTTTTCTGAGAAGGAATGAATTACCATCCAAGTAACACGGCTACTGATCTAACACTTCCTAAACCGAAAAGGGAGTTTCTAAAAAGAGGTTTTTAATTTAGCGGTGCTATTGGATCCAGCTCCCGAATGAAGCAAAGCTCGCTGAGTCAATCTCTTCGTTTAAAAGCCTTATTAGATTATAGTTGGGTATTGACAAGCTGTTTATCTTATAGTGGTTAACTTTTTATATACTTATATGCAATAGAAATAATAGTAGTAGTAGCATAAGAAATTTTAGTATTAGTTTAATTAGGAATTTGTATAAGGTTTTTCAAGAGAGTTTACTCTTGGGTTTTTATATGTGTTAACGCGCCCTTCATGCAAACAAGCCAAGTGTTGTTGGGGCTAGCGTGTTTCTCTTGTGATATGAATTGTTAAGTAAAGTATTAACTACCTACCACGACAACAATGAGAAGTTTTCAAAATAATGAATTTTATCTTTCGGAAGCAAAGGTGGCGCAGGGTGGTAATAGCCTCTTACCAATGAACGCCTTGCCGCAGGGTTCTCGGCCAATAGGGAGCTTAAGCAACAACGACGGCGACGTCAACGAGAACGGCAAAATAAAAACAAAACAAAAACAAACCAAAACAAAAATAGGTCAGATTCGCAAAACAACAACCCTGGACGTGCACCACACTTTTTTGTACATTTCTTTGCCGTCACTGCACGACTACATCTGTACGACGTGAGCTGAAGTGAAATTGTCTAATTTGTGAGTCACGTTTTGTGGGGGACGTGAACTCGCCAGACAACGACTTTCTTTCAGAACTCAACTCCAGAAAATATTGCCGCAACATTCGACGAATTGAATGACATGGACCTTCCCAAACTCCAGTTCGATCAGGACTGATGGAATAATAGTGCCATGTGGGAAACCTTTTTAAAATAGAATTACATTTGGCTCAACTTCTTTCAGACAATTTATTGGGAGCAATCGGTGTGATAGCGGCGTATTAATTTGCCGAATAGACGGTTTACAGAGTTGGAATAGATTGATAATTCTTTACCGGATTCTGTCCTTTGTTCTGTTAGTACTTTGACCACATGTGTTTCCGCAGACGCTTTGTTTACACTGGAGGAATAAGGTTGAGCACAAACGAATGAGTATACCATATCAGGACACTGCACGCAGTAACAATAAAGCTCTTCAGGGAAAAATGCACCTGTACACGTTGATGCGATATATTACCTGCTGTTCCGGCCCCTGCAAAACAACAACGACCAAAAATATTAAATTTTTCAAAATCTTCTCGGAAAGAGTGGAAATCAAGCAGATGATCTCCTTGCTGCAACGCGACGTTAATACTAGACTGTTGAGTCAATACAAATCAAAATTCGTTTTTCGCATTCGGTACTGTTTTGTTTTGGGTTTACTGTTTTGCGTGCCATGCCATGTGTCGTGATTGTTCTAGAGCTACAATATGTACCCTTTTATCATTGAACCACGATCTAATCTCTTTTTAGGTAAGAACATGTGGCATAATTTTACATAAATTTAGACATCCTTGAATGCTGCTTCAATTATCGCGGACCCTAAAATGGAACTTTAAGTCAAAATTATGTTTACTTTTGTTTTCGACATAACTCACAAGAGTTGACCATTCGATCGATTGGTTTTAATCGTTATCACACTAACTGCAATAAGCCTACCTTTAATTTATTGTCTGAGGGGAGCTTTTTACATTTCGTCGACCCCGTGTCTGTAGAAAAAATAGGGTGCAGGTGGTAACAAATACTTATAATTCACACGTTGTCTAATTTGTAAACGTTGTTTTGTTTAAAATAAACAATTTTTTTTGAAAACGTTAGTTATAAGACTTACTTTGCAAGCATCATTTGGAACTTACGTTCTGATCGTTCGTTTAATTTTTTCATCAGATTCTGCCAGATAACGTTTGTCATTCATCTTGAGGTAGGTTTTATAAAAAATTCTCCAAAGTGAACTCTATAGATTTCATTACAGAATTAGTGGAGAAAATTTGATAGAGGATAAAAGAGTTTTTTCTTAATTTAATTATTAATAAGTTTCTCTAGGTTTTTAATTGATATTGTTAGGAGAACATTAATATCATTCGCACTGTCATTGGGATTTACAGGGTTAAAGAAGAATGGACGGGGAGAATTTCTAGCTACAGTTTGCGCAAGGGTGAACGGCATACACCCTAAAGTTAGCAAGCGTGAAATGTACTAACAAGACTGTCGCAAATTAAAACGCTATGTGGGTCAGAGCGCCTCCCACAAAAAACTGTAATTTTCAGTGTAGCTTAGGTCTGAAGGTCTACCTGATATGAGTCATTCTTAGTACGAATCTCTAACAGTCGTAGAACGAGTAATGAATCTGCCTAAAGTAAAACTTATAAGGTTTCTTTTTATCACTGAGGTAACCTTTATACACTTGTAACTGCCAGCTTAAGTACTGGTTTCCGGAAAATGTTTGCTTGAGGACTCCAGAATCCAGAGCTTTGAAATCTGGAATTCACCTCAAGGATTTCGGAATCCCGCGAACGGATGAAGTCTGGTATCCAAGTTGCACTGACAAGGAATCCGGAACCCAGTACCTGGAATCCGGAATCCACAGTGTTGAAACCATCCAAGAATATTTCCTTACATATGAAGATTCATAGCTGACTTAAATACACCCAATTTGAAAATCGTCTTCTCTTGCAAACAGTCACCTTTACGGCAGGTCAGCCCATAAGGGCATCTGCAAGCACACTTGCAGGTTGATGTTTAGCTTATTAGCATCGCCTCTGATAAATCTTCCATTTAGCTACCCTGATTTCTTTTGCAAAAATGGGTCTTTATAAACATGCAGCATTAGCCTGAGTATCAGGCGTTTCTGGGGAAAAGGGAAGAAGAGGTATCCCCCCCGCCCCGCCCCCCCAAAAATGTTTTTCATGAATGCAGAATGGCTTTGTATAACATGTGCTTAGGTAGGAAATAAAATTAACTACGCCGGTGGCTCGGTGTTTCTTAATTAACCTTCAATTCTTTGTGCTACAGTATGAATCAAGGTCATTGTAAAGGTCGGTACACACTAGGCGACAAGTTGCAGCAACATGTCGCGGCGACACGTTGCAGCGACAAATCGCTTCGTGTGTGCTGGAGAATTTTTGTGAAAATCTTTGTCGCTGCAACAGAATTTGTCGCCGCAACAAGTCGCACAGATTCAGTCTGATTTGATTTTTTGCGACTTGTTGCAGCGACAAAATTCTGTTGCGGAGACAAAGATTTTCACAAAAATTCTCCAGTACACACGAAGCGATTTGTCGCTGCGACGTGTCGCCTCACCTTGTTGCTGCAACTAGTCGCCCAACCTGTAGCCTGCGTAGCTGGCGGTATTGTGTAGTAGTCGAGTGAGGTTTGGCGGCGGAGCCATTGTAATATAGTCGAGTGAGATTTGACGGCGGAGCCTTCACGAGCGGCGAAGCCGCGAGAAATACCGCCTGCCAGAGAACCATGATTTTTCGAATGCCGCCCACTTTTGTCACCTTAGCTGATCGCAATTAAATCAGCCAGTCAAAGAGAAACCTGCAATTTGAAACTTCCGATTATTTTCGCGCGAGACAGTTTAGAAATAAGCGTTGACAGGCTAAACACGACTCCTAAGCTCGTGATAATGTGAAACGTAGCCTGTTCCAAGCGTTCAGATAGTGGAGAGCGGTGCAGAGTAAAGAAAGCGATGAAAAGTAGAGGAGGACTGCTCTCCTCCTCCCTCGCTTTTATTTTTTCGCGCTCCTTTTTACTTCGCACCGCTCCCCATTATCTGAACGCCTGGAACAGGCTATGTGAAACGTGACCTTGTGAGTTTGCTTGAACAGAGGGTTTTTTTATTTTCTCGGCTCTCGCGCGAAGGTTACTAGCACTACACAGTGCATGTATCATTCTAAACTTTGACTGAGTAAATCTTTTTTTGCAACACCAGGCTTAACATTAAAAGGTCATGAAGCTGGTTTGTTACATGCATACTGAGTAACCATTTCCGGTGGTTTATTCTTCTGTAGGTGTTCCTGATAAGATTTGATCTCAGATGCAGTTGTATAGTGTTTTAATTTTCTTTGACCTTTGTTTCTTACGGCTAAATAAAGACAATTCCAGCGCTGTATAGTTTAAAGACGCCATTTCTGCAATTTGGTCATCAATTATGCTCTTTTTAAAGCAGAAATCACAATCACTTTACATGTACGTCTACGGGGGGTGACAACTCTAACAAAGGCTGTTTGGGCAGTCCTATCAATAACTTTATGTCCTCCCGGAAATTTCGTCGACCCTCCCGAATTTTTCGGTGGCATTCCCCATAAATGTTTAACTTCCCAAAATTGTTTTAACAATTAAAATTAAAATTTTGATTAGAGATTTTTTGCAGCTTTTTGTTAATTATGTAACTTGTTAATTATCTAACCTTAGTTATTTTTTCGTTTAGAGGGTATCATGTTAACACAGAAAGACTGTCAAACTTTTTAAGTATATAAAATCGTGTTGGTTTGTTTTTTAATAACCGATGAATCAGGCAGGCAGTGAAGAGGCCAACCACTAGGGGGGTGTGGGGGCATGCTCCCCCAGAAAATTTTGAAATCTTGGTGCCCTGAAACGCCATTTCTAGTGTTCTGAGAGGACAAATTCTGTCCAAA